TTTGGGATAGACCCTCCCTTTATTATACCGTTTAATTCAAAATCCCATTCTAATTGATCTTGTTGCCCGTCTGTGCGTCTTGCATTTTTGAGCTCAACCTACATGCCGGATATTTATTGTACTGATATCTTTTGACCCAAGGACGAACGCTACTGAAAATGATTTGAATCGAATGAACGTCTCAGTTCGGCAAGCCGATGTATGAATATCCATGGGGTCATGTTTAATTATGGGACGCGGATCGCTTTAGTCTTTTTGGTTGTTAATCTATAGCGAAATGACTTTCGCGTGGACGTTAAACACTTTCTAGGTATTCGTACATGTATTTTCTCAAACTGTAACCTTAATCGAATCTCTTTGAATTTTTGAAATTAAAATTCGGATTTTAAAATTTTTGATTATTTCATGTTGCATTTCTAAAAACTACTCAATCGCTCCTTCCCATGTAATGATTTTCCTGGAAAAGTCGGTAAATGAATAACAGTAATGTGTATCTGTGAATATGTACATCACCAAGATGCACTTGAGATAGGCTCACCTTTTGTTACATCGATTCATTCAGAAGCCCTTCTTTTAATCGGTGTAAGCTTGTCTGACCGCCTGTCTATTTGTCTGTCCGTCTTGTGTTCTTGGGTTCAACATAAAGGTAAAAGTTGTTAGGTCGTTTCGCTGAAATTTGCTGCGCTGAAGTTCTTTCGCTCACGCTATTGAAAATGGTTCCGATCGGACCCTTTTTTCGACCACTTCGCACGAAACACCTTATTTTGAGAAGTGATTAGTTCAATAACTGTATTGAGCGAAGTGATGAAAGACATTTAATGTTGGGCCAAGACCGACTATAATGTTTTTATTTGTTACATTGTAAAGGGATTAATGCTCTCCTTCATTAGTTGGAAAATCAAGTGTATATTTTGCGGCTAATTATAACCACTTCATGTTTTTTAAGCCTCCGTTAAATTAAATCTATTTGTTTTACGTTGGTTACCTGTTTGGTTAAAAAAGAAAATTCATATGTCTTTTCACAACTGTTCGTGTACGATTTGTATGTGCGTACTATAGATATTTTAACTGTTTGGACGTAAAGAAAATACGATACGAGGACAAACAACAGCAGAATGTTGTCTTTCTTTTTTTTTCATTTTGTTTACAATTGTATACATATGAGCTATGTCTCCATTCTCTAAATCCAAACAAGTCTTATATATGTACATAAGCACATAGCTTTTTGACAGTGTATAGTTGAGAGATGATTGTAGTTTTGAAAATTCGTTTGCTCTGGTGACTTCGGACGGTTTTGTAAAAATCTAAAAATGTTTGCGTAAGAGTCAAAATAAAATTTTTGAAAATCCATAAATTAATAAAGAAATGTGAATGTAATACAAATAAAATTAAATAATAATCATAAATA